ATATATATATATATATATATATATATATATATATATATATATATATATACATGTATATATATACACACACACACACACACACACACTCACACACACACACACACACACACACACACACACACACACACACACACACACATATATATATATATATATATATATATATATATATATATATATTATATATAATATATATATATACATATATATAAGCATATATATGTGTGTGTGTTTGTATGTATGTGCACACACACACATATATACATATGTATGTATGTGTGAAGGTATGTGTACACACACACACACACACACACACACACACACACACACACACACACACACACACACACACACACACACACACACACACACACACACACACACACACACACACACACACACACACACACACACACACACACACACACACACACACACACACACACACACACACACACACACACACAACACACACACCACACACACACACACACACACACACAACACACACACACACACACACACACACACACACATATATAATATATAATATATATATATATATATATATATATATATATATAATATATATATATATATGTACATATGTATGTGTGAAGGTGTGCATAAACACAGACACACATGATGATGATGATGGTGATTAATAATAATGATAATGATAATGATGATAATAATAATGATAATAACAATAACATTGGCAGTGATGGTAATAATGATAATAGTAATGATAATAAAACAGAAATAATAATAATGATAATAGTAATACTACTACTACACTGCTACTACTAATAATGGCGATGATAACAATGATAATAATAATAGTACCAATATCAATGATAACGACAATGATGATTATGACGATGGTAATAATAACAGTACCAAAGATAATGATAATGATAGTAATGGTAATAATAATATTGATACTAATAATGGTAATGATACTATTACTACTAGTAGTACTAAATATAATAATAATGATAATATTGATAATGATTATGATAATGATGATGGTAATAATGATAATCATAACGATCCTGATAATATTAACAGTGATAACAATAATAAAAGGCACTAATAGCTTTAGCAGCAACAGTAGTAGTAACATTAGTAGTATAAATGCTAATGCTGAACATTGTAATAAAGATGATAGCAATAATGGTAGTAGTAATAATAATGATAACAGCGATAATGGGGATATTAATGTGAATAATATTGATAAAGATATTCAATATGACAACAACGTTAACATATGATTCTTATATTGATATGAAATCAATCATAAAGGTGATGATGAAATTAGTATACATGGAATGATAATATTAATGATGATGACAATAATGATGAAGATATTATAGTCTGCAGTACTAACAATCATTAAAACAACAATACTTATTAGAAGGATAATGACGATAATAACTAGCATGGTGTATATAGTTGACAAAAGCAATAGCAGTAATGGCAGTCAACAGTAATGATGGTTAAGACGTCCTTAAAGATATCTCAAACTCCCGAACCAGCAACTCACAACCGCTTACGTTTTGGGACATTCATTCAGGACCGGGCCGTCCTTGGCGGAGAACGGCATCATGTTGTGGTAGGCGAAGGAATTCCCTGCGTCGCCCGAGTAGCTTCCCAACTGCAGCTTGTAGTTACTGGCTCGATCTTTGACGAGGAACGTGCTGTACTGGGCCCATTTAGCGGTGCCGTCCCAGTCCTCGAGGTCGATGCGGATCTCGTAGTTGGTCTGGTTCGTGAGGGCGTGGATGTTGTCGAGGCCGAGCCAGAATTCACCCGTCAGGTCGCCGAAGCCGTCCACGTACTCGTCCCACGTCCTGTAGAAGTCCTCCTGGTGAGATGGGTTTTCCTGGCGTCTCTGGATGACCGTCCAGCCCCCTCCGTCCGTGGTCATGTCACAGGGGGCGTCCACATTCCTGTCCGGGCAGCAGTCGAACGGTTGCAGGGTATAGATGCCACTGCTGGTGTACCCTTCCATTTTCTTCGTCAGGCAGTTCCTGGTGATTGACGGTAGAGATTGCAGCGAAAGTGAAATGTGCTGACTATAAGCGAAATTGGACTGAAATAAAAGTATTCAAGCAGTTTCTTATGCACAGTGAAATAAAGGGTTGACATGTATATTCTGATGATAATGCGATAGACTCATGTCCCCGGTTTTTCGTATCTTTCATTTCTCTTACCTGTCATGGTTTATCTTTGGTGGGCCTTGGGTGGTGGGTTGTACTGGGGGCTTAGTACAGGTGGAGGTTGAGACGTCTGGGCACAACTGGAAGACTTTACACACTGGAGGTTGAGACGTTCTGGGGCTGGAGGTTGAGACGTCTGGGCACTGTTGAGACGTCTGGGGCTGGAGGTTGAGACGTCTGGGGGAGGTTGAGACGTCTGGAGGTTGAGACGTCTGGGGCACGTCTTGGAGGTTGAGACGTCTGGGGCACTGGAGGTTGATTTGATATACTGGAGGTGTGGTGACCTGCTCCGGAGCTGATGTAGTAAGGTCATTGTCATCAATAAGGTCAGACACCAACACTCCATTGATATCTACTCTAAGCCCTTGACCTTTCTCGGACAGGAGCAACACCAGAGCCTGACCATCGGCATTCATGTTGACCTGCCCTGGCATGTCTACGGTGATCTGAGCTCTTCCAGGATCCGAACCCTGGAGGTTAACTACTGACCCCGAGGAATCGACGTTGACCTCCGAAGCTGAGAAGGTAAACAAAAAAAAAAAGTAAGGAAAGGAAAGGAAAGGAAAGCAGATAGATAGATATAGCGAGAGACAGACACACACGCACAGAGAGAGGGAGAGAGAGAGAGAGAGAGAGAGAGAGAGAGAGAGAGAGAGAGAGAGAGAGAGAGAGAGAGAGAGAGAGAGAGAGAGAGAGAGAGAGAGAGAGAGAGAGAGAGAGAAACAGACAGAGACAGACAAACAGATACATCAAGTAACCAGATGAATAGACAAATGACAAATATATTCATATATTCATATAAACATTTAACTTATTGACATACTGCAGATGGTGACACTCACTCGGTTTCCCCATGACCAGTGTTACCAGCATGAAGACATTTCCCAAACCACGGATCACTGTTGCCGGTTTCATTGTCTAAAAATATATAATGAGAATATGTTCGTATTCAATCGGATTAATGAATCAAAATGGCATTTCAGTACCAAGAGGCTCCTTGCCAAAAGACTTGAACACTGTTATTGCAGCATTGTACTTATATATATATATATATATATATATATATATATATATATTATATATATATATATATATATATATATATATATATATGTAACATATTACATATACATTCTATATGCATGTACGAGTATATGCACACACACACACACACACACACACACACACACACACACATATATATATATATATATATATATATATATATATATATATATATATATATATATATACATATATATATATATATATATATATATAATATATATATATATATATATATATATATATATATATAACATATATCTTATATATATATACACATATATATGTGTAATAAATATATATACACACAAATCTGTGTGTGTGTATGTGTGTAAATATATATCTATATTTATCTATCTATCTACACACACACACACACACACACATATATATACATATGTAATATACTGATGATAAATAAGAGAAAAATAATCATGAAATAATTAAACGACTCAGCTGTATCACCTCGGAGACGTGACGAGACCGCGTCCACTTGCAGCGCCGCAACTAAGTCTTGTGTCACACTTGAAGCGTCAACGTAACCCCCTCACACCAAACCCCCCCCTCCCTCTCCACTCCCCACAAGGCCTTCTTTAGGCTCTCAAAACCCCCTGCGAGCACCAACCCTTCCCCTCAAGAGCTCCTCCCCGTTCCTCTATAAGCTCCTCCTCATTCCCTTCGAAGCTCCACCCCGTTTCTCTCCAGGCTCCTCCCACTTTTCCTTATCGCACCGGATCTCTCTGTACTAAAACGCGGCTTCTCGATCAGACATAAACGTCAGCCTTATCTCCACGTATCTTCAAGCTCATAAAAGAAAGATTATCACGCCGATTGTTTCACGGATGATAAATATCAGAACAAAAGACAGATTAGCATCTCAAGAACATAAGTAAAAACGTTTCGCTGATCCAATAGGATACAGACACGTATCCGCATCTGATGTAACGGAAGTGTTGAAAGGGCAGTCCGAATTCACAGTATATAGGTCTTATGTGGTTTATGGGAAATCCTTATCTTGCCCCATATATAGCATATGGATGTGATCCTTTACTGTAATAACAATAAAGGTAAGGATAACATGACATTTAAGATGACAGTAAGACCCTGTGCAGAGGAGCGACTTTGGTGGCGCGACTGCTAGAAGCGCAACTGCCAGGTCAATGGAAGTGATAAGGAGCGCACACACACAGTGGCTTGTGGCTGGCCTGTGGCGCGACTCGAGATCTCCCTCACAGTCGCTACAACTACTGCTACCATCATCAGTTATATTTCCATTATTATTGTTACTTTGATAATCATCATTATTATTACTACCATTATTTCTGTCATTGTTATCATCATTATCATTATTATCACAATTATTAATATTATTATGATTATTGTTATTACTATTATTTTCATTATTGCCATGGTTGCCCGTCTTGTAATTATTGATGTTATTATTCTCATTCTTATTGCTATTTTGATAATGATGATTATCATAATCATTGTTAATATTATTACTATTACGATCATCATCATTGTCAATGGGATTATTATTATTGTTATAATTGTAATCATTGTTATTACCATAACTAATTCGAATACTATTATCATTATCATTAATATTATTGTTATTATAATTTCCATTATAATCACCATTAAAATTATTATGACTACTACCACTATCATTATCACCATCATCATTATAATTACTGCTACCAACATTATTATTACCAGCATCATTATTTTATTCTCATTTTATTAGCCTTATTATGGCCATTGTTCTTCTTATTACTATCAATATCTGATCTTACTATTGTTGTTATTGATACTACTATTGCTGTTATTGATATGATGTTCATCATCACTATCAATATCTTCAATATCATTGTTATTGTCATTATTTTCATTATTACCATAACGTTATCATTATGATTCTTCTCATCATTATTGTTATAACTATTATCACCGGCATTATCATCATTATTATTGTTGTTATTATCATTATTACTGTTACATGAATGAGCACTGTCATTAGAGGGAAGCACTCTACATGGAGACGAGGAACACGGAGAATCAGGTAGTTATCCGAATGTGTTTGCAGAAGACGAGAAAATACAAAAAGGGGATAATAGACAATGTCTCATGGTAATGCCTCCAATGGGTTTTTCGAGAATTTACTCATTCGGAGTTGTAGTAGGAAAATGGAATTCAACATCAGTTTCTGCCATGTAGTTAGGGTCGGAGAAAGTAAAAATCTTTCTGTACCAAAGAAAATAGGGACAAAATTAAATAAAGCAGATAGGGAAAAAATCAGCGTAATATCATATACAAGAAGAAGCACACTCTGCGATATATATATATATATATATATATATATATATATATATATATATATATATATTACACACACACACACACACACACACATATAGTAATGACAGATGATTGACATGGGATTTTGTCCTTTCTTTCATGCCAGTGTTTGTGATCAGCCACACCAATATCAAAGTACTGTAGAAAAGGCATTTCAAGCTTAAAATAATAGAAAATTTACATTTTGTGTGGAAAGGGAAGTGGTGGATTTTCAATTTAGTGTTCAGTAGTCAGGGCTGGTGGTGGTGCAATATCTCTTTTGTATTTTTAGATGGTTCATTTAAGGAACTTCTGTTATGATGTAATTTCAGTAATGTTTGTCTTATATTAGTTAATAATATGGGTTATTGGTCAAAGTTAATCACCTGATATAGACGGATGGAAATGTTGAAATGTGGCCGTGACTTTTTGTTTACATTAGTGTCATATTTCTAATCAACATTTAAGATTTAATGTTAATGATAAAAATAATTGTTGTTTAATGATGGTGATTAGATTTTAATTTCACTTTGTGTTATTTGATGAGTAGATATTGTTTGAATATACGGTGACTGACTGAAAACCCGGTGTGAATAATATTTTCTGCAGTTAATGAAAATGCTTAGGCGAATGGTGTAAAGAGGAAGATATATTTTCTTTTAATCGCCGTTTGATAAAATTCTTGTGGTTAGGTTTTGAATAAATAGAAGAAAAACTTTGCATCTTGAAATCACGATCTTTTCTTCTCTTGTTAACTGTTTATACAACAATGTACACTTACATCGTCAAGAATTTATTCTGTCCATCCATACCAACACATTAATATGTATATCTATCTATCTATCTGTCTCTCTCTATACACACACACACACACACACACACACACACACACACATATATATATAAACACACACATATACATATACATGTGTATATGTATGTCTATTTATGTATACATCTATACAGTTGCATATGATACGAATGTAAACGCAATAAATGCAAGGAAATATTTAAATTTAGAGATTGTTCAATAATCTTGAGCATATGAATGAATTTTAGAGTTATTTTTTCTTTCTTTTTCTTTTTAGTCTTTGAGCAATGAAAAGATTACAGTTTATATCAAGGTGACAAAGGATTATGAGTAAGACCTTAGACTTTGTTGCATTACAGCAAGCACGCACGCACACACACACACTCACACACACACACACACACACACACACACACACACACACACACACACACACACACACACACACATACACACACACACACACACACACACACACGCACACACACACACACACACACACACACATACACACACACACAAACACAAACACACACACACACACACACACACATTTACACGTCTATGAGCGTGTATGTGTATATCTATAGACATACATATACAACCAGCTGTGTATTAATAAACGTACTAATGTAACCTTTTTTTCTTTTTTCATTCCTCACTCCTTTATTTCATAGAAACAGGATGATTCAGATACCAGTGCTATTAAGGAAATGTTGACCATAGAAGTGTGTCTGTATAGAAAACTGTGCATTTTGATTGTATAGTGACGGCGATAGCGTAGCTTGCGCTCGCAATACAGAAAACGGATGAAATTCTGGATGAAGGGAGACTATTTCATTTGGATAAAAGGATGCGTAGGTTATATCTTTTCTTTGTATATTTGCCTTAATCTCTCTCTCTCTCTCTTTTCTCGCTTTTCCCTCCTACACTCTCCTTATTCTGTTTAGTGGCTTTGTCCTCTCTCTCTCTCTCTCTTTCTCTCTCCCTGTCTCCTCACTCAATGTCACACTCTGTTTATATTCTAATAAGTTAGCTTTCCTCCTGTACTGCAGACTTGTTGTCATATGGTTATCATTTACTTTTTATGTCACGTTACTTTTTCTTTGTATTTCTAAAAATCGTATTTACATTTCCTCTCTGTATTTCTGCCTCGTCCTTTCTCTCGTATTTTTCTGTCCTTTTCCCCCAATTCTCTTTACTCTGTCTCTGCTCTCTCTCTCTCTCGTTCACATTCTTTTCTATTCCCGTTTCTCCTCCTTTCCATCACCTCTCTTCCTCCCTCCTTCTCCATTTCTCTCGTTCCATTTCTTTCTCTCCTTCTCTCCTTCATTTTTTTTCTCGCCATCTTCCTCTCTCCCTCCTTCCTCAAATCTTCACCAGGCAATCATTTAAAAAGGGGATTGAAAAGACACAAAAGTAAAGTAAAGATACAATTCTTTATTTTGATATGGCAAGATATGTACTTTACAAGAAAGGCGACGTTATTCAGTATTTTTTTTTTACGTCGAAACGTTGACAATCTACAACATTAGCTTTACTCCTGTACTACAAACTTGATGAATTCTAGTCATTATTCACCTTTTTTTTTAAATATACCATTTTGTCATCTTTATTTTTCGTTTATTATTGTTTTAGTTGTCTATTTTTTTTGTTTTGTTTCAGATAATTTTGAAATCCTGTTTCCCTCTCGGTTTATTTATGTTCCAATTCTGGGTTTCTCTCAGCTATGTATTTCTAACGGGTTGAAAGTCTTTGAAAAACGTTTTGAATATATATTTTTTTGATATTGCCTCAAAGAGACTGATTAACCAAAAAAAGGAAACTGTATCCAAAGTTAAAAAAGCAAAAGACAAAAAACATATCTAGCGTTTTGAGTGACTGCTTGTTTGTATTTTAGTACAAAGTAAAAAAAAAAAAAATATAATTGTAAAAAGAAAAGTCATATCAATGCGCTCATGTAAATTAGATTACAAACGTCCCTCATATCATGTTGATGAAACTGAGGAACGAAAAACAGAGAAATACGTAACATTACAAGAAGCTATACTTATGTATTTAATACAGTGTCATGCACGCATGCTATTAATATTAACACTATCCATACACAACATCCATTTCTATATTCCAAAGAGATCAGTCTGCCAATTTAGAAAACGAAATCGAGAAAAAAAAAATCAAATCATCGCTAGAATTTGGGTCACATTCGTAGATCTGAAACGAAAGACCACACCCAGGAATTTTCGACTTTATAGCGCTCTACACAAAGAACAAAATTCTCTGGAAGTGAACTCAGGGTGTTGCATATATCTATCATGTGTCACTGATGTAACCTTTAGGCAGTGCTCTGATTAGTATGTATTATAAAATATGACATTGATATCACTGATAAACCCCTAAATATATCACTCATACAGTGTATTAGTACAGACCGGAGAATACAAGAATAACTATATATTGCCATGAAATAGATTCCAAACCTGTCCTCGAAGAAGGCCAGTTGGGAGCAATTTTACATCGCTGGCGTTAGTCTTACTAATTTAACTTAAAAACGATGCTAAAAATATCTTAAAATGGCTATTTACGTTTGTGGAAGAGACAAACAGAAGAAGAAGGAAAAAATAAGAGAATAAACAGTCTCTATAAAACATTCCAGCGCCTCTATAAGGAGACGATATGATTATGGCACTTCTTTCCTATGCTCAAACACACGCGTCACTAGAGCTAACACGGCGGGGTGTCGTTCTCTCTCGCAAGGAACTGTGTGAGGGAGAGGCTGAGCTCCTTCCGTTCCTGTGGAGGAGGAGGAGGAGGAGGTTGCGTTTGAACTGCTTCGTTAAGGAAGGGAGGTGGAGTGAAGTTTTTTTTTTTTTAGGAGTGAGTGTAATCTGTGTCTCCGGGTGATTGAGTATATATTGTAAGGGTGAGTATAAATAAACAATGTGGTTAAAAAATAACCGAATATATACCGTATCACTACGGATATGTGTCTCCCTGTGTATAAATCCAATATGCAAAGCAAAATTAGAGGCTTGGAAAAACCTCAATCTCCCTTTATTGACAAAAGATATCCCACGTACAAAGGTAGTACTTGTATGTGAGTATTGATGTCTCTCGGTTCTGACCTGACCGAGGAGGACCTGACCGAGGAGGACCTGTAGCCGAACTCTCTCCCTCTCTCTTCGTTTCACTGGACACTCTAGCGTCCTTTGGGGTATGTGTGAGTGTTAAAAAAAGCCTCTTGACCCAGTCTTTGGCCCCGACGAGGCCTCCCTTCGCCGCGAAGGATGAGGGGGAAGGTGCATCTCGAGGGGAAACCACGAATTATGCTTCGCTTCGTTCTAGAATCGGATATGGGGAAAGAAAAGAAACCCAAGAAACGAACGATTATTCACCTCCATCCGATCTCTCTAAGTCTAAAATTCACTATGATACAAACTCTTTGGGTGGGTGGGTGGGGGGGGGGGGGGCGTCGTGCAAGCAGCAGCTGACGTATACACAATAAAGGAGACTCGAACGAAATGGTCCTTTTTATGAGCCTCGCCAATCTTGCACTCTGCTGGGT